CAAAAAAAAACTGTGCCTTCCAAATTCAATTCAAAAAAAAACCATTAACTATGTTTTTCCACCGTTCCAAATTCAAAAGCTGCATAACAATGGCCGTTCGTCTAGACTCCGTGGCTTGAAGTCTAATTAATAAAAATCGCGGTGACGTCTAATTATACGATAAGTATGTAAACAAGATGGGATTATCGTGTTAAACTGTACGTTGACTGCTCACTTAGGTTTCTTCCACGCAATAATAACGGCTATCCGGTTTTACGTTGCATTGATTTATAATATTGCCTGACTCATTCAAAACATTCCCCATTTTACAGAACTCCTGAGACTAACTGACAAACTGCAGCAGGTAGGCAATTACACGTTAAATTGTAATCAACAGGAAAACGTCGAGTTTCAATCGCCGACAGATCACAATAAATATTTATCGGTTAATCTTTATGACATTTCCGATGCAATTCCAAAGTCAAAGTCAAAAATTATAGCCGATATCGGAATTATAAAACACGACAGATGTCCGTCCTGAAGCGCGAATGCGTTGATATTTACAAATACGGCTAGAGTTATCGTATTTATAGCATCAACGTAATTAGCATACTATCAGTTAGAATCATCCATTTAGATCAAATTACAAATTAAATTAGAGACATAGGAACTTAAAAAAAACTAGTCGGAACATTTTTACAGACTAGAAAATCGATGGAGCCGTGCCAAAACCGATTGACTCGACCTTTTAGTGCAGTAGTATTGTCGCTACAGTTCAAAACCACTGATATTATGCAAGCGATAATAATTGTTAGCACACTATTATCAAACAGCATAAGATACCCACGTGAGGAGAGAACAACTAATACTATAAATAAGTTAGCAATATTATGATTCAAGCAAGATTTCTCAAAACATGTGCGCCTATAAGCAATAACATGTGTGAACTTTAAGTCAAGAGCGAATTACAGATTATGAGGACTGGCGTACAATAAAATTCTTCCGTTTACAAACAGATTAGATATAAATTGCATTTATTACTGCTATGGATACAAATGAACTAAATCAAGAAAATGACGATGTAATGAATTTAACATTCTATTTGTAATCAAACGCTCGTCGGTGTAAAATGAAAACGGGTTACTATTACGGAATTAAATTAATTAGATATGTAATTAGGGAGTAGTCTAATGTTCATTTGTGGGATTTTTGTTAGGAAGTGATGAAATGGTTTCGTAATTTGGAAGTTACAAAGGTTAGAAAAAAGAAATGGTCTCCTCAATAAATAGTACTATTTAACAATACACGTGCCGTAAATTCTTGATGGATTTAAATGAAACAGACTAAGCTTTTGCATATTTTAAAGCAACAATGTGTTAATGAATAAAGTGATAAAGAAGTAATAATAAAAGTCAATGTAAGCAGGCATAAATTATGATTTTTATGAGGTTAGTAACGAAAATTTGATATCAGACTGTTGTATAAATTAAAGTTTGTGCTACCGAAGTACTAAACATTGTATGCTAGATCGATTCGGCTACAGCAACACGTGGCGCAGATGAATATCAATATAGATTTATAATAGTATCCAATCCTAATTTTGCGCAGTAAAGTTTTAATGTAGTATATGATACAGAAGACATACTGAAACAAGAAGGAAATTCCATTGTTTATTCGATCTTCACAATTAAACTAGTAAACGTAATTTTCCATTAATTCAATGTTATCATCTTCATTAATAAAATGTCGAGGAAAGTTCGCAATGAACTGACTAAAGAGCGACGTTCCGTTTATTACATTTGAACCTCTAGATTGCGTGGCAACCGGGCAAATTGCAAAACTACATCCAATGTTAGAAGTACCCACGGTTGTTAAACCATTCGCGATTGGCTGGCTAATCTAGGGGTCAGGATTGGATGAATCATGGTGACGGTTCATGAGAAACTGTTTTCGAACAACCGAAGTTAATATGGGATATTAATAGGTTTCAAGTACCTTTATAGCTATCTAAGGAGGTTATCAACGTTGTTAGTGTAGAAGCATTGTTTTATGATGTTTGTAAATGCAAGTATATCAAAGTTTACAATAAATAAAGGCAATGCATTGGTGATGTAACAGATTCATTCATAGCCAAGTAAGATTCCAGTTTTAACAATGTTTGCGTGCAAAAGCTTAGATGAGGAAAGATTAAAAGTAGTTTAACAAAATCCATGACCAGAGAGCGTGATCAGATCTTTACGTTGATTGGCGGATTTTTTCAAGTTGACCGTCCAAGCGTTAAATCATTTGACACCAAATTGAGAAGAATCATTATGGTTACTTTTAAAAGAATTGTTTGTTTAGGTATAAACAAGGAAGGCGTTAATGAGTTCTGAAGTAAATGACTCTAGTCATTTGCCCCTTTGATTAGTGGCTCGAATTGATGACACAGCTCACGTACTGAGGTCAGTGTATGAACGTAATCCCAAATAGATCTTAAGATTCCGTTTTATATTCTAGATTATTCTATACCGTGATGTAAATCGAAGTCATGGTCGGCGGGGATCCAATACTTTCACGCTTAAATCAGCATCGACAATGTTCTGAACGTGATTAATCGATGCTTTGAAGACAGGAATTGTAATTAAAAAGCTGATTAGATGTGTTTCAGATTATCAATAACAATTATTGGCGCACGTTTGATGTCTGAGCAAATAATGGATTTTGAAGCACTAGATTTTTGTATGCATAGTCATGCTGTTAGATAGCGGTTCTCAGTAAGACTAAGACTCCGCATAATCCTTAAATAATCAAAACATTGTCGCATTATCTCAGTCCTTGATATCCGAAACATGAAACAAGAAGTGCACTGGAGTTAAAAACCTGATAAATCGGTGCAAACAAGATTGTTAAAGACTTTTATAGACCAACAATAAATAATACGCATAAAGTTCTCTTCAGTGCATTTAAAAATATGTAAACAACGAGAACAGATAGTGTTTATTTGTCAGTATCAGGTAGCATCTCAGATGTTTTATGGTAATCAACATTTTATCTTTTGTTTCACATAATTATTTTTTGATATTTTCTCGCGATTTTGAATTTAAACATCTTTTATCGTGTCAAATGTATTCTTTATGGCTTATTTTGATCATTTTAGATGCCATTACCTTGAGCAATTTTTTGATTCTTAACTCACGAACATTTGAAATTTGCGACAGTAAGTTTTTGTCACATAACATTAACAAAATCGATTCTATGCTAATTCTATTCTATAGTCCTAATTATTACAGGCCAATGATTTCTTGTCGTCTTGAACATATAAGCATTGTTTTGCCTTGATACGCCCTGCTACTGTAAATATGGAATTGACATTTTGATAAACCGTAGCAATTACTTTTCTGGGTCCATTTCTTTGAATAATGAAATATTGCTTCAAGTCTGGAGCCTTGTAATGTATTGGCGCCACATCCTTATGCAATCTGGCCTGTTTTTAACTCCTGGGTTTTTCTTATCTCTAATATCAGACAGAACTTGAACTGAATAACGGCCTTAGTCAAATCAAAGGCCAATTTAGTGCTCCGGGTATTTCGTCTACAGTAGCATTCTGATAACATTGATACGCGGTACATTTTTAACGTTCAAGGAAATCTTTATTTATAATTTATCTGCAATAGAAACATCTGTAGTTTAGAGTTTGGTTGCAAATATTGGACATGTTTACTAAATAAATTAAATTACAGTTTTAGTTTAGACTTTGAGTCACTGTTTCGTCCAATATTTTGGTTCAAAGTACAAACATTTTGTGGGAATTAACTTCAGTTGACTATTCTTGAGTCCACGTGATTTCATTTAATCACAACCAACTGTTGATTTCCACAATGAAACAAAGAACTCACGCAGTTTACAGAAATGGTGAATTAAGGTTACTTTAATAAATCTTAGTGACGAAAAAGTTTTTAGATGCGAAACTATTAGTTTGACCTTCTGACGAAACATGGCTACTCGTGGGAAAGAATTATGAGAAAAAAACATTTAAACTATCAGGACAAAGAGGTGGCCCACAATTTTTTGGGTGTTCCAAAAAAAAAAAGAAATGTATACGTTTAAAGTAAAAGAACCGTTTGTTTTTGTTTCTGATATTCCTTATATGTGATGTAATAAATTATTGCTTTACATTGGTCTAGATTAAAATGAGGTTTGCAAATAAAACAAGTTCTTATGAGATAATTTTAGTGTTCTAAAAAAAATTTAAAAATGCAACAGCTCGATGTAGAACTTAGTCATGAACTTGATGAGCACATTATAAATGATTCTCATTAATTTCCAGATCTTGTCTATTAACATTCATCGATAAAATGTACGTGATTAAATATCTATCTTTCCTAACAATCTTGACGATAATATTTTTAATGATTGACATCAGACATCGTTTACGATGATAATGTAAATTTTGCTTTGCAATATGTCCCAAATGGTCTTTACGGATCATAAATCATGCATAGCGGCCGCAAAATAAACGAAAAGAGGTATGGTACAGGTAGAGACACATCGCTAAGTCTAATAATACTGTCTGTGTTGGCTGTTGGCCCAAGTTAGGGATGGTTCTCATTAAACAAAGTACACTTGTCATTCCAAAATACAACTCGTTTGAAGTTTTTTTTTTGTTTCTTTTTTTAACTATTCCACTAGCAACCCTAAGTCTTTTGCATCATCGGCATTATCAGACATGTCGAAAGTCAATTAATTACCATTGCTTTCGCCAGTAACGTTCATGTTTAATCTATTTAAATTATTATTTACAACATCAACAACGACTACAACTCTCTCTTGTGTTTGTTCAACAGTTTTGATAGACTCGCCGATTGTTGTGAAACTTTGAATTTAAGTAATGCCATCAATATTTAACGGTTTTCATATTTGGGAACATGTTGACCTTGAAATCTTATGAGTCAGTATCCTGCTAAATTATTTTTTCTATCAACGCACATAAAGTTTACACAGGTGGAACTAGGGTGATTTAAAAGTTAAGGTGAACTTACCGATTTGATATAGTTCTAAGTCCCGGTCGACGGCAGAAAACAAGTAAAGCCAACGAGTTGGCCGCAGTTGACACCAGGAACAGCGCTAGGAGTACAATCTCCTCCACTAGTCGGTCTCTCACATCCATCCCTGACATCAAAGCTTGTCCAGGAGACATGAGAACCGAATATTCCGAGACAATGTCATCACTATCACAACACTTTAACTTGCAACTGAACACTCTCAGTCAAATGTTTTTAATATACTGCAGTTGTTAGTCGCGTAAAGTTTTGAGAACACGCAGGTCGTTCAGGCCGCGTCTTTCTCGCTCGGCTGTCGTGTGACAACTGGCTGGCCGCTCCGCCGGAGCTGCCGCGGCGGGCGCGTGGCGGCGCCCCCACCACTCGCAGCCGCTAGTACTTCACTGGCGACACTACATATAAATCTACAACTAATGTCGGTCAACATCCTGGGTTTTTGTTTTATCGCTTGTGAAATTTGCGGCATGCGGATTGTTTTGGGTCTGGTTTGCATCATTTTTTATTATTTCATTGAAGCTTGTGATTATTAATTAGTTATCTACTATGTTGTTTACGTTCGTATTTATCAGAAGCGTCACAAAAAACCAACGGTCATTTTACTGTACGTAAAAACGTTGGACCTTTCCCAATTATGATTAAACGATCCCACTGAACATTAGATTTCAGTTTCATTACTCATTGTGTTCGTCTCGAATTTCGGATGTGCTCATTGTCGGTCACAAGTATCATTGCCAGAGCGACTTGAAACATTGGCGCTATTAAAATTTACAGTCATTGGACTACAGAGGTTGCGACAAATGTTTTATAATGTAACAATAGACCGCGCGAAGGTCCTGCAAAGCCAGTAAGGATTGCATCGAAGGTTAATTAAATATTATGACAAATTGATTGATTGCTTTAATGATTAAAACATGAATAAGAAGCCGGGTATTCAACTGATTGGATAAAGTATTTCAATAGTAAAACAGTAATGGTTTACGTGACTGCTGTTTATTTTAAATGTAATTGGAATAAATCTATTCGTGGGGGTTTTGCTAGTTTTCTGTATGTTATTGGGTGGTCCACAAACATACAATGAAATGTTTAGTATGTAGCAACAGGATGCAATATTGATGAGCTGAAATATCTCTCATGTTCTTCTGTGTAACTTTCAAATTCAAATGCAGTTTGATCTGTACTATTAGGAATCGCGCGTTTGTCTTTTAACTGCCTCTTTTATTGGACGGTAGGCTATGGCCATATTTTTTGGGGTTATTGTCCGGACAAATAGTTATCACTGCGAAAAAGTGGAGTAAAAATTTTGTTGCTTGTTGTTCCTCAAAGTTTATAGATTCATTCCCAGTAAAGTATAACCATTGTTTTAGTTTTAGATCTTATTAAGGAAATAGAGATGGATAAGTATTGAAAAAGACATAGGACCTATTTGTCTAATTACTCAATCATGGATTACGATATTACTTGATGAAAGAAATACCTAGTTTCTAGAAATTGTACATTGTGTAGCTATTATTTCTTGAATATCCGAACTCCAAACTGCTACTATCAATTGGTACTATTAAATAATCCTTTGTGTTTGTTTTTAAGTGTTTCTTTAGAACGTACAGTCATCGATATTTCGTGATTTCCACAAAATTGTATTGTACCGTGACGAAGTAATTTGGAATTCTATCTTAAACAGTGAATCATTATCTAATCTTTGTATCTTTTTATATTCGCCGATTTTAGATAATCTTAGTAAATAGCTGGAAACTAATAGATATGTTATATATATTGATTTATATTTTGGCGCACCTTTGAATGAATGCACTTTTGCGTATCAGCATATCCGGATATTGCGGAAGAGATGATAGTATATTGCAAATAAAGGCACGGTTACAACAGAAGTCTTAGATGCGATAAGTCTTTTAAGTGGAAGAGTCATGCTTCGGCTCGAATGGGCCTGTTAGACCGAAGTGATACCCACGGCCTCACAGAAAACTAAAATGAAACAATGTTTGTATTGTGTTCCACCGCGTGAATGACGTTAGTGGAAGCCTAATCGTCCCACATTTCCTATTTTTGGGATTGAATTCTCCGATAAAATTATGACTTTCTTGGCGAACTCTGAAGTTTCTTATACCTAAGTACATTTTTGAAATTTTGGATTAAAAAAATGGTCAAAGCATTTATTTCAATTTGGTACTTATGAAACGTCAAAAAATACAAAATAACTAATAGTCTGTCAGTCGATTAGTCAGTGAAGCTAGGTGCTCGTTCCAAAATGTAGATTCGAATGGAGAAGGGCGAGCAAGAAACTCAATTCGTTACTCTTTTAAAAATGTATGTACATATAAGATATGATCCTTTTTTGTGTAGTTCCTTGAGAAACAGATTCTACGCCATGGAAACGTATATTAGAATGGTATGTTAGGTATGCATTAAAATGTATATTTGTAACATTCTCTAGAACATTTTATGGCTAGTTGTGAAGTACAGGTGGAAGTCATAAAGTGAGTTGGGAAATAATTTTATTATTGTTCCTGAAGAGCTCACCTATTGATAAGTCACCCCGAACAGCGCTTGTGTCAAAATATGAGGATAAGCAAACACAGACCGAAGGACCTGGATCTGTTGATTACAGCAATAATTATGACGAAAAGGAAATTAATAAACTCAATAAGACAGAGATACAGATAACGAGAACAGATAGTACAAGAAAAAGGAAACTGTGCATTATTAGTAATTGTAATCAGAACGGTACATTAGACATATTAGAGAACACGTTTGGCCAGCACTTTGAGTATTGTCATTACTTGTATGGTAATAGTAGCTTAAATAATATTCTATCTAATATTTCGAAAAAAATTCAAGATTTTGGTATGGACGATTACTGCATTATTATGATTGGAGAACGGGATTTCAAAGATTCTGATGGATCTTTGGAATTAATTAGATTGATTAGGGACACTTTAAAAAAAATTACATACACTAATGTGATTTTATGCTGCCCCACATACATACAAGGGGCTCTGATACATAATTATAAAGTGGAAATGTTCAATCGTTTACTTTGTATGGACATAGAAAACAATAATTATGCCTATTTTGTTGACAGTAATCGCGAACTTACCGGTGAGACATTCTCGTATAGGACCGGCAAAGTTAATAAACTCGGCTTAAAACGTATTTACGAAGGTATTTTTGAACGCTTACTTGTAGACATTAAAATGTATCCGATTGCATCCGATTATTACCTAACTCATAAAAATACTCTTTTTCGTCCCGACAGGTAAAAAAACAATCAGTAACTTTAACAATCGATTCGAGGGAAAACAAAAGTTTATATTATTACACCAAAACATAGCCGGGATTTTAAATAAGATAGATGTATTTGAGGTTGCAATCACCGAGTTGGCAAGCCAGATCGGCGTTATTGATTTCATCTGTCTTTGCGAAACTTTCATTAAATCAGGCCATGAAAGTAATCTAGTACTCCCAAACTACACTTTAGCGGCTAGTTATTCAAGACAAAGACAAAAGCGAGGGGGTACATGTGTTTTAGTGAAAAAAGGTTATAGTTTTAATACGTTAACAACAGTAGATGAACTGGCCACTGATTTTTGTTTCGAATGTTGTGCCGTTGAAATTTTGAACCATAATCTAATTATAGTATGTATTTATAGAATTCCAGATTCTGATTTATCTACATTTTTTAGAAAACTTGAATTATTGTTAGGAAGACTAACGCATAAAAGTAAAAACCATATAATCTTGTCTGGTGATTGGAACATAGACATATTGAAAAACAATAAGTATTCAAGAGAATTAATATCAATTCTAAATAATTACAACATTTCGGCACATATTAAAATGCCTACTAGGAAAAATGCAAGTATAGATCAAATAGCCAGTAACTTGCCCACACTCGATTTAAAATGCAATATTCATGGGTTAGCACTTTCCGATCATGATACCGGCCAAACATTAACATTCCGCCTACATAATATTATGAAAAATAAATCAAAAAATTGTAAATTTTGGTATGATACCAAAAGAGATTTTAGTGTGGATAACATAAATAAATTTTTACAATGTTTAGAATCTCTAAGTTTTGATGAGATGTATGAAGAAACAGACTGTGACAATGCATTTAAGGAATTTCACGACCTATTTATTCTATTTCACAAATTGTGTTTTCCAGAAATACGAGTTAGATCAAACAACAAATTAATAAAAAATAAATGGCTTAGTAAGGGCTTAAGGGTATCTTGCATCAAAAAACGAATGCTATATTATGAATACCAACACAACGCTGTAAGTAAAGTCAACCATAAAAAAAAATACCGCCACTATACAAATATATTGAAGAAATGTATAATAAAATCACAGCAAATAAACAATAATAATTATTTCTTACATTCTAAAAATAAATGTAAAGCCACATGGTCTATAATAAAAAATTACTTAAACAAACATATTAACAAAAATGACATAAGCGATATAAAAATTAATAATAAAGTAATTACTGACCCCACTGACATATCTAACCATTTTAATAACTTTTTTATTGAACTGACGAACACAAATAATTTCAACAATAATTTTGATGTAAATAATATTAACATGACCACTAATATAAACACATTGTTTTTGACACCAGTGAACGAATCTGACATAATAAAAATTATTAATTCGCTAAACAACACAAATTCTACGGGATATGATGAAATTGACACAAAAACAATAAAGTTAAGCGCGAAAATCATAGCACAGCCGCTTAGCTACTTGATTAACCTCTCGTTTGAACAAGGTGTATTTCCTACTAGACTGAAAGAGTCCATAATAAAACCATTATACAAAAAGGGCAAACACAACGATCTAAATAATTACAGACCTATTACATTGATACCAGTATTTGCAAAAATTTTTGAGAAAGCCATGCATGTTAAAATGTCCAGCTTCCTAAACAAACATAATCTAATTGTGGACAATCAGTTTGGTTTTAGAAAACAGAGTTCAACAACATTAGCCAGCTATTCTTTAGTAAAACGAATTAGTGAAGCTCTTAATAATAAAATGTCAACTTTATCAGTTTTTCTAGATATGAGCAAAGCATTTGACTTTGTCTCCCATAAACGTCTACTTTACAAGCTAGAGA